ATTTTTAGCGCCAAGCTTCCAGACTCCCAGAATGGCCAAGGAACACGATTTGAGCGCCAAGCCAACCATCATTTGAGCGCCAAACTTGGTCATCAGGGTGGAGGCCAGTTGGCGTTAACACCAAGGGTATGAACACGACGCTTAAGCGCAGCATTCCGAGGTAGCCGAGAAGGGACCCCGCGGTGACAAAGCCTGGTTGCGCGAGGTACCCCAAAAAATGGCCAGAACTTCACGACAAAATCGAGCCAGCCAAAAACGGAGATGACCTCCGCGAATTCTGGTGTATTTCTGCGGGGGGCTGAGGGTGCAATTCTGGATAGGCACGGCATCATGGGGCCAGAGCGGGCCAAGTTCGAGGGTCGGGCAGGGCCACGCGATGCGAATTGGAAGAAACTTAAGCTTGAGCTCGAGTCAAGGACGGAGCAGGCAGCATGGAGTATAGCGGCCAGATGGGCCCAACGCCAGGTCGGTGGACGCGGGCCTGCACAGCTGCATCCTGAGGCTCGAGGTAGACGACGGTGACCAGGAGAGGAGGTGCAGCAGAGCGGCCAAGGTGCTGCTGGAGGTGGAGCGTTTCTTCGGCTGCATCGACAAGCAAGAATGGGTGCTCAATTGTCTGGACAGCTTGACCAATGAGTTGTTTCAGAGAAGGGTTAGGGTCGCTGGGAGACCCAGCTTTTCCGGACCTGATCTCGAGGACTATGGGTAAGGCTGCCCAGCATGAGGCGGCGCATCTTGAGGCCGAAAGCGTATACCGGCAGAAATGGCAGGGGGAGCCTCTTTGGGACGGGCCCGAGGCGCCAGGGCGATCCAGGAAGTCATCGGAGCCAAGGAGCAAGTCCAGCCCATGGAGTTGGCGGATGAGGTCGCGTCGGGAATGGGGAGCGATTGGGGCCACCCACGGATACGGAGGGACGAGCTTCCTGGAGACGCCTCTGATTTGGACCCCCCCCCGTCCATCACCCTGGCCAACTTGAGAGCTGCTATTGTGAAGTTTCCAGACAGGGCGGCTGTAGGGCACTGTACTTTACATTCTTGGTCGCCCTTGTATATTTCGGACGAGGCGTTGGTTGCCTTGATAGCGTGGCTGCGCCAATGCGGGAAGTGCTTGGGGTGGCCGTCCCAGAGGTTGGTTTCCCGGCCCGTCGGGCAAGGCAGACGTGACGGAGGCCGCGGGTTGATGGCGCCTCTGGGCTTCGAGCAGAGCGAGGCGTCCAGTGTCAGAGCGCCGGGGGCTGGCCAACAGGACGAGGGCGTTCTGGGGGGCAGGAGAGGCCGGAGCTCGAGTGATGCATCGTTCGGCTTTGGCCTGTCGCCAGAGACTGTTGGGGCCGAGGGCGCCCACTGGATCAGTGCGTTGTTGGACATGGCTAAGTGCCATGGAAAGATCCAACTAAGCGAATTGTTCCAGAAGTTTAGGCAGGCTGACTTTCCCCACCGCTCAGGGTGGATGCCAGTGCAATGCTGCATGGCCCCCGGATGGGTAGACGCTGTTGGAAGCCTCTCCGAGGCTCGCGTTTCGTCTCAGGGCATCTGGGCCAGGTGTTCGCACGCCCGTGCCACGATGCTGGCGGTCCTGCTGGCCCCTGTGCGTGAAACAATCTGTAGATGCCCCAAGGTAAGCATACGCGCCCTCATGGACGACGTACCTCTGCAGAGGGAAGGGGCATAAACCATCGGATCGGAGTTTTTTTGTTTGGCTGAGAAGTTCCTCGATCAGAAAGCGGAGCCCGCGGGGTTGTTGCTGCAGCCGAACGCAACAGGATATCCTGCACACGCGGTAGCTTCGGAGAAGCGGGACTATCTGTCAGCACGCATGACAGGGCTTCAACGGTCAAAGCCACATGCGAAACCTAGGACGCGACTTGCACAGACGGAGAGTCCAGCGTAGACTTCAGAAGCGCCGCGCACAGCAGCTGCAGCCTCCCAAAGCTCCAAGTCCTCAGGAAAACTGCTGGCACTGGGGTCGCGGCGCTCTGGATGACTGAGCCCCGCGCCCAGCAGGGGGTCATGGGGCCGCCGTTTCAGGCGCGTCGGATTCAACGCTGCGAAGTCCGAGGGCGATGGCGGCGGAGCTTATGGGCGCTAACGGTCGAGTTCACGTCACCCCTTACCTTGGTGCCCATGAGGATTCCAGCTAAGATCCAGTGGCGGACGTCACTGCCCCCGTAATTTTCCGATGCTGCTGCTGGGTCTGGGACAAAACGGTTGGTGATTCAGATTTGAAGAACGCCTGGGTCTGTGCTGGTCAACCGCTGTCTCAGAGACCCCAATTAAGCCTGGTCCGAAGGCCCGTGGGTGCCGTGCTTCTGAGCTTACAAAGGAGTATGTCTACTCGCAGGGCGGCACCTGATCCAGACGGACCAGGGAGGCGTGCCCAACCTTTTCCAGACCTCACCTTGCGACCTCAGGTTGAAGCTGAAAGAGGGCATCACGCTTGCCCAAATGCAGCACGCTTTGGCATCGCCTCCTAAATCGTACGCCCTGAACATGCGCAGGGTCGAGCTTGTGAGCACTTTCTTATTCGGCGTCTCGACATCGGGTACAAGGGGAGGGGGGAGGGCGGGGTCTGGCTCCGGACCTCTGCCTAGCGAGACCGTTTGCAACAGTGCCTCCTGTTTGGGGGAGACTCCACCCGCTCGAAACAGGCGCCAAAGACAGCCAAGATCTACTCAATTGGGGGGGGGGTCGAGGACCCGCGCCGATCGGCACAACAATGCATAACAAAACGATCACCTTTCAGGCCCAGGGTAAACTCGGTGAAAGGCCCTGCGCGCAAGGGAACTCTGCGGGCTCTTATAGCAGGGGGGGACCCCGGCCGCCTGCCAGAAAAGTTCGAACGCGGCTTTGTTGACGGTGATCGCCGTCAGTCGTGCAAGCAGGCCTAAGGCACTTTTGGCCATCGGTTCTACGATTGTCAGGAGGCGTGGCAACAACAGGGGGGGGGCGACCCTCAAGCTGCGCAGCCGCTCCCAGACAGCGTCCGCGAGCACCGAAAAAGCCTGCAGGACTCAGCTAATGAGGGGACTCCCGCCCGACTTCGACACTCTTGGGTTGGTTTGTGGGGGTCCCGAGGTTCCTACCACTGCTCTCAGCCATGTCCAAATGTAATTGTCAAGGCTCTCTCTTTCGGGTGGGAGGGACTCGCGCCTTTTTGCGGACGGATCGAGCCAGGCGAACGGAATCCCTGAGCTCTCCCGACGTGGCTGGTCGGTCGAGAAGCTGACGGCCCAAGGCTGGCCAGTGCGGGCCCAGTTTGGGGGGCTCAGCGGGAGGCACCAGACAGTACCAAGGGCCGAACGCCAAGCCATCCTCCAGGCGCTTCGCGTGGCCGCCTGGGAAACGGAAGTAGCATTAGACCATCTATCGGCAGTGACCGAGGGTAATCGATGGACTCCAGACCACGCTATTGGCAACAGCAAACATGCAAGCGTGTGGAGGCAAGTGTTCAGGCTCTACGACAACAGGCCCAAAAGACTCGTGTTCAGGTAGACGATCGCGCACGGAGAGCTCGATGTCACCTTGCAGGGCCAAGCGTTTCCTGAGGGTGTTGAGGTTTCTAGGGTTCTCGATTGTCTGAGGAATGGTTGGGCAAGTTTCTTCCATAAAGCAGATGCTGGTCAAATCAAGGTGCCTGATGCCACGGTCACCACTGTGCGAGAGAAAGCGGGAGCCTGAAACATTGTTTTTCAGACGTGTGATAGCTTGTCCCGGACGGCCCAACTTGTGGCCAGCGCATCAGTCCAGGAGCCAAGGGCGCCCGAGAGGCCAACATTCCCGACGACCCAACTGGCTTTGCTTTCTCACGACCTCGGGGAGGTCTCTGGAGGAAGGGCGCGTTGCGCATGGTGCCACAGCTCGGCGAAGACTGCGGTGTCCAGGCTGAAACTGGAGCAACCAGTGGCCAGGTGCGGCCCCTCGCCTCTCCACTTCTTTTTGGCTGCCGTGCGGGCGGAGAGGCATGAAGACGTCCCTCACAGGGCGCGAAGCAATGCCGTCCGTGCCGCGATGGCTGGCCTAGGGTACGACCCAACTGAAGCGTCGGCCGACCGTGCTCCAGCGCCATTCGAGCATCCCGGCAACATCGTCCAAGCGGCTGGCCGATACATGCTGTGCAGGCGCTGCGGCGCCCGCGCGGGTCACAACGCCCCGCCGGACCACTCTGCTCGGGCCCCGTCCGGGCGCGCCGTCTGCGGGCCAGCGCTGGCTTCGCGACGAGGCCTTGGCAGGGCGCGGGCCTCGAGAAAGGGTGTCTAGACGCCCGAGATGGGTACGGGAAAAGTGGGCACAGAGCCCAACAACAGATGTTGTCCCAAACCAACAGCGGCCGCTGTTGGGCAGGCGGCACAGGCCGCGGCGACACTGACAGCGAATCCTGTTCAAAATGTACAGGCACCGCTGTTAGAGGAAAGAGAACTGTGCACATACACCGATTATGGCCAGGCCGAACCCTGAGCCCAGGATCAGTGCATACGCCCTTTTACATTGGCCAGGAAGGTATATGCACCGATCCTGGGTCAAGGATGGGCGTTGTCAGGATCGGTGCATGTGCGTAGTTCTCTTCGCCCGAGCTGTTGGGCCGTGTACCCATCCTTTCCGCACCCACTTCGTTCGTGCCGATCCCCAGGGCGCCATCCGCCCGACCGCCCCTGTGCGGGGCTCGGCCCGTCGGGAGGAGCCTTGCGCAGAGGGCCTGCACGCCTCCTCCCGCCTCCCACGGCAGCGAGCGAGCGCGCCGGGTCCTCTCCCCCCCCGAGGCACGCGCCTCCTCTGCCCCTTGCGGGCGCCGGCTGACTCAGACGGCGTTTCGTTGCTCGCCTCGCCTCCTCCTCCTTCTCCTCCTTCTCATTGTTCCTCCTCCTCCTCCTCCTCCTCCTCCTCCTCCTCCTATGGTTTATCCCTTCTACTTCCGCATGCCTCGTACGTCCTCCCTCCACCCCCGTCCCTCCTCTCTCTCCTGCCTCCCCCCCCCTTCTGCCCCTCCAACCTGACATCGGCCCCCCCTTCACAGTTCCCCACATTGAAATACAGAGCAGACACAGAAACCCATCAAAATCCATTCGGATACCCCAGAACATCCACGAGCTCTCCGACTCATCCCCCTAAATACAACCACCTCACTACCAAAACGATACTTGTACACGGAAACCACTCGAAGCGCCCCTCATTGAAGTCACACCCGGACTGGCCTCTCGGCCGTGAACCTTGGCCTCTGCACAGCAAAGGCTGCCACTCACGAACACTTTGGATCGACAGATCTCTGCGCCTGGCGCGCCTCAAGCGGGCCTGGAACAGTAGTGGAAGCATGCCTGGGTGCAGCGGAGCAAAGAGTAGGCGGGGGTTGACCTGAAACTATGCGGCCCCGCCGCAAGAACAATAACTTTGAAGAAACAACATCTGGACCAACCCCCGGGCACACGGCACGAAGTCTTTACAAACTTGGCCCAACATTCAAAATCGCTCTCTGGTACAGTCTAATACTTGGTTTGGTCTGTCGGGATTGGGCCAATTGATTCCAGCCACCTGACGCATACCGTACGTGGCAAGGTGAGCTGCGATGTTCACTGACGCCGGAGGTAACCACAAATTGAGCAAAGCTCCTATCAGGCCGCTCCTTTGCCGCAACATATCTACACATGCATTCACACTGGGAATTCACGAGGAAACGGACACGAACAAGAACACAAGGGTACGGGCACATCGAAATTCGGATGCTCCTCTCGACCACCGGGTCGCCGCCACTGCACACATCGTCCACGCACAAACATGACGTTTGGATGTGCACTTTCTAGAAACTGTGCACAACTCAATGCTTGACATGATTCGGATGAAAGCCCCAACTAAACTAATGAACCGCAAGACGCAAGAGGTCGATATAAAAAGCGAGGGTTAGACTGGAGCACGCTGCCGAAGATTATTGCATTGGGCTGTGAGATACCCCAAGTTGCCAGGGCATGATGTACGACTCGCCACACACCCAATCCTCAGGGAATTATGTTGAGATGGCAATATGGAAGGATCGACTGTCATGAGCTCTGAACATCCAACCCACTGCGACTCGGCAACTGCACTTGTTGGCAGGCGCAATTGTATCAGTCAAGGTCACACGTAGCAAAGTTCGGGGCGGCACTGTTAGTGGCTATGTGAGTCGCAGTGTCGGTGGTAGCAGTGAGGGCAACGATACTGGTGACTGGTGCGTTATGCAGCGGTGGCCATGGACACTGCAGACATCGGTAATCATCAAGATTCGACTCACCCGTTCAACACGATCACCACCATCATGACCAACGTATGGCCAATTTGTACATACACTCACACTAACATGGAACGCGCACGGTCCGCTAATTGCAAGTCGGTGCTCCTCCGCGCCTCTCCGATACCCCCCTGCTGTCCTCAAGCCCTCGCTTTCCTCAGGGGGGCAACGCCTTCTAACACTTTGTTGGATCTGGTTCGTGACGCTGCCGTGCGAGGCAGCGGGCACTCCACCAGGCCAGTTTCGATCTGCTTATTCGAAATCCTGCAGCGCATTAGAAATACCCTCGGTGCTCGAGCGTTTATGCCATTGGAAATCTGAGAGCCGATCCTTTTCAACTCGGCTCGCCATGGTCGAAGATCCAGGGTTCGGCCCCCAATTATGAAAGCACCGCCGTCGCAATCAATTGAGGACAAAACCAACGAAAATGATAGGGTCGCGGGAGGATGCGCTGACGGAGCCGAGAAAACATTCGCCAACTCATTGGGATCCAAAGGTGTGATATGTTGAAAGAGCGCGCCCGACATTAAACCATGGCGTCCTGATGCACTCACAGACTCAACCGTGCTGTCAATGCCCTAGGTTCCGGGGAGGGCGGGGGGCTGACAGCGATCGACAGCATAGCGCTTCAAGCCACCTCGATCTTCTCCCCAAGTTGCGACCATGACACCGGTCTTGAACATTACATCGGAACCATATTCTCAACATGCTGGGACCGATGCTATGTGCACTGACGTGCGACCGTAAATTCAGAAATCCCCGTCGTCGTTCCCGTCGTTCCCGTCGTCGTCCACTAGCCCCTATTTCGAGCCAGCCGGAAATGAACTGCCACAACATGTTTCCGATCAGCTTCAGTGGTCAAAGCGGTTAGTCAACACCGAAGCAGCCTGGCGTGGCGGTTCGATGGCCAAAACATCAGCATGCGATAGCGTACCATGTACAGCTGTTTGCTACAACCCCTGCTGCACGCCATGAGAAAACCAAAACACTGCCAAGCGGATCCTGGCCTGCGTATTTCAATCCAACACCGAAGAGTTGTAAGCTCTTGGTATTGTCCGAATCTAGCACTTGCAAGACCACGTCGTTCGCGTCCTTGATCACTTTAGAAGTCGATCCGCTGGCCGGAGGGTCCACCTGACGGACACTCAACACGACCGCCCACAATCGTGCGCACGCACGGATTACGGATCCTTGGATCTAGCACGTGGGCGCCACATCCGTGGATCGGGAGAGGCACCATCGCAACATGAGGCCAGTGCCGCCTGATTTGGCGACGAAGCGCGCCGATTCTGTGCGGAAGCGGGGCCCGCCGCTCATCCACACGCCTCAACCCATGCCTGCGCTTCCTCGATGCAAATCTTGAGGGCCTGGCCATTGGCACCAACACCAACACAAAGGGATGCCTCCATTGGTGCTGGTGGTAGTCTCTCGGCCACCTCATACACCCGAGTCTTACCACCATCACCGAGATCTGGATCCTCCATCGGTGGAGGCAACCGCCGATCCTACGGCAAAAGACGCACGCTCCAAACCACGTACATGAATACGCCCCCCCAATCTAAAAGACCAACCTCGTGATTCGAACGTCCGCGCAATGCGTACTTTCGGGACCAACGTGGATTCATGTACGTGTACGTCCTTCTTTCGCTCCTGAGACACTTGTGTTGGAGCTGACCTCTGGGCCTCCGAAAATCCAATCCCCCCCCTCATCCCCTCCCGCCCAACCCGTCGTGGGTGACAGGACAGAACCGGGCGCAGAGTCCATTGTGAGCCAGGAGCGCGGGCCCAAGCCAAGAAGGAGCAGGAGGAGGAAGAGGAGGCAGAGAAGGTCAGGAGGGAGAACGAGGTCGCAGGGAGAAGGACGATGGATCGGTGAGGGAGGACGAAGAAGGAGAGGAGAGGAGAGGCCTCCGTCTCCTATTCCTCATACTGCGGGGGAGGGGTGTCTCCCTCCCGCCGCAGTGATTTGGTCGAGCACGGACACGAACTGGACGAGCGCGGGCCCCCGGGCCAGCGCGATCGACGTGAACTTGTGGCACGGAATGTTGAACCACTTCACGCCGTAGTTCTGAGCAAAAAAGGAGACAGACAGAGAGGAGAGACGAGAGAGAGAGAGAGAGAGAGAGAAAAAAAAAAAAAGAGAGAGGAGAGAGAGAGCGAGAGAGAGAGAGAGAGAGGATGGGGGGGAGCTGGGAGGGGGGGGGGGGCAGGAGGGGCAGGAGGGGCAATGAGAAGGGGAGGGGGAGGGAGGGAGGCGAGGGTAGAGGGGAAGGAGGAGTGGGAGGGGGCTCACCGAAGACGAGCGCACGCTTGCCCGCCCCCTTCCCCCCGGTGGTCCTGCCCGTGCTGGGCATCTATCGTGCCGTCTAGATGGACCGTGTTCGTCACCTGGCCCGACATGTTGTACGTGTACACGGTGTGGTCGGACAGGTCGGTACCGTCCGGGCCGGCAATCTCGACCCCGGGGACGGCGGGGTTGTCCGAATGGTAGCGTATCTCGTTGACGAAGATCGTCAGCGCCCCCATCGGGCGCTTCGTCGTGGTGACCGTGATGGTGGTGCCCTGGGGAGTCGCAACCCCGCAGCAGGCGTGCCACACAAGCAGGAGAGCAGCTCTTCCTCCGCCTGAGCCTCCTGCTGCTACTCCTATGGCTCCTACTTCTTTGACGTCCTTCTCACTGATTGCGCTGACTTCCAGTACTGGTTCCAAACGGGTTATAGAAAGCCTGTCAGGGCTTCTGTGCACCGCGGGAGGACCCTGCACAGACGGAATGATCCATGTGCAGTAGCGCTCCGATGGCGCTCTCAACAGCATCACTCCGGGAGGGAGAGGAGTGATCAATCCTCCATCTTCCCCAGTCGACTGGGGAAGATGGAAACGAGGATGAAGAGACGAAAGATCAGGGGGAGACGGGATAATCAAGGGGAGGAGGGGAAGGGAGAAAGAGAGGGAGAAAGACAAAGAGGAGGAGGAAGAGGAGGAGGACATGATGATTCGTCTACATTTCCACGTATTCAAGCGGTGACCGGTGACGTGGCACAACGAGCAACAAATAATATATTTGCAACCACTGCTGCGACATGTGTACGGCACATAGAGACCCACCAGCTTTGAAGGCATACGCAAGTGAATGGGAATTGACCCTGGGCCCCAACTCTTCCTGGACCGACGACGAGGCTGGTCGCTCCATGTCCTTCTGTTAGGCTCCGACAGCATCGACGAACTGGTCAAACGAGAAGCACGACTCCATCCGTCAACCGACTCAGATCGCTCACCCATCAAAGCTCTTCGGATGTTTGTTCCACAAATGGTGCGCCGGGCTGGCAAACAACAGGTTCGCATACCCGATCGTGCCACAATAGACTCGGACCCGTTGCCAGACAAAGCCAGCCGCCGAGGGGCCCAGGACCAGTGCGATGAGGCCCCAAGTCAGCAATTGCGCCTCCCGAAGCTTGGAGTCGCCACGCATGCCATCCCGTGGGAGTAAAAGGCCCCCGAGCCAACCCTCATGATGCGCCTCACTGGGCACGCCCTCTCCATAGCCCGAATGTTCTCAATTCGGGGCGAATGGCAACAGCGGCGGTTCCCCCGCCCAGCCCAGATCTGCTCAACATCGATCCCTGAACCCATCCCTCGGTCCATCCTGAACTGTCTTTTGACGCGGATGCAGCCGTCGCGACGAGAATCCTTCCGACGCCCCCCAAAAAAAGAGGAAGCGTGCACGGAAGAATCGCCGTTGCCTCGACAGGCCCGATACCCTTCTCGCTCAGGCAGGGCAGGGCGCTTGGTAGTGGTAGTGGTGGTAGTTGGTGGTTATATAGCAGCAGCAGTGGAGGACGAGGAGGGAGGAGCAGGAGGACGAGGAGGAGGAGGAGGAGGATTTTGATTGGATTGCGGCGTGATTAACCACTGGGGCTGACACGAGGGTGCGGCACTCAACTCAACGAACTACAGACGATGGCTGTGGCAACTGGGAACGATGCAACAGTGCGTACATGCAGCACGGGCGCCAAGGTTCGGTGAATTTCCCCGCCCCCGTCCTGTCCCCACATACCCCGCGATTTGACGGAATTGCACGGGGCTGGCACGACGAATGGCCAGCTCGACGTAGCTCTCATTCTGCACCGGAAGGGAAGGGAGACCGAGGGGAGGTATGATAAGACCCGAGAGGAGAAAGTAAGACTGGGACGCATATCCAAAACTTCCAGCTCGGTAGGAGGGCAGACCGAGGGGGAGAGTCGCGAGTAGGCTGCCTGACCACTCCGACCCGACTGAGCTCCTATAAGGCGGTGCCGCACAAGGAACGCACAACAACAGTTCGTCTTCCTGGGAGGGGAAGGAAAAACATCATCGCGCCCTGACGCCCAGAAACGTAAATCGAGACGGCGGTGGAAAACCGCTCGATTATCGCCACGCTAGTCCGAGGGAAGGCGCGGGAGGGCAGAATTGGCGCGACAAAAAGCTCGGCGACGTCCAAGTACCCTCCATCCACCGTCCTGCTACCATCCTCCCAGCCAGTCCTCCACACGTGCAACTATTGGCCAAGCTGGGCCAGGCGCGCATTGACAAGCAGACCATCGTAACTGAATGTCTGAGAAGGGGGAGGAGCAGGCACATGCCGGGGGGGGGGAACATGTTGACGGGAGAGAGGGAGAAAGCTGGTACTCAGACCGATCACCTCCTTCTCGTGACCGCAAAAAATAAGCCGCGGGGAGCACCACAACGGGAATTACCACGCGGAAAACTGTGCCAAGACAAATGCAGCCGCGTCGGACGACGTACCTAAGCGAGAGGAGGAAAAATCTTCTCACCCTCGCGACGCGGACCGAAGCGGCAGAAACCATGCGGTTATCAAGGCGCCAAGACGGAGGTTTGAGGGGGGGCTCTCCCGCAGCAGCCACCCGCGCTGCTACTCCATATGAAACTCTCGCAAGCGGCTGGCGAGGCGCGAGGGAAGCAGACGAGGCGAGGAGGATGATCGTGAGGGCAGAGCACGAAGGAGTGAAATTGGGACGCAGGCTTACATCCTCCGGCGCTCCTGATCCCTCCCTCCAATCCTCCCCCACTTCACAAACATAAGTAGCAAATGTGTAATTACATGTCACATGTCATGAAGCCCGGCGATAAAATATGGCCGCGGTAGTCACGCGGAATCAGTGCAAGCTGAGGCATCTTCGCATACTCGCAGCGCACATAGAGATACATATCAGCACGATTATCTCAGCAGGCGCCTCAAAGAGCCTGGCAGACCGTGCGGGAAGAACGTGTCAGCGATCGCCATCATGGCAAGGCGGCCAAGGGGTGTCCCGGCGAAAGGCTGCAGCTTAGAGTTGGCGTGGCTCGGCATCAGCACAATGAAACCTGAGTCACCGGCCGCCACGGGGACGTCCACGGACTGCCTCTGGGACAGCTCGCAGAACGCTCCGTGAACCATAATTCGCATCCAGCATGCCTCCGGGGTCCAGATCGCGCGAAACATATAACCCAGCAGCGCAGCGGTGGTCGCGGGGTTGACGTAGTCCTTCATGGACGCGAGCATGGAACCACGGCCGTGCGAGGGCAGCGTCGGCCCCTGGCTCGCGAGGTGCTCCGTGCTGCCATCCGCCATGAGGCCTGCTGGGTCCCAGTTCCTCGCGCCCTCCTCGTGCATCTCGGCCAGTGACGACCTCGCAGCTGGTAGCGTGGTAGAACCCGTAGGCAGCCGCGCCGCCTCCCCCTGGCCCCGAGAGGGGACGCTGGGGGGGAGGGGCCTGTAGGGCCCGTAGGCTGCCTCGCCGCCTCCCCCGGGCCCCGACAGGGGATGCTGGGGGGGAGGGGTTTGCCCACCTCCGCCGCGCGGCCATCCCGCCCAGCGGCCTCAGCACCGGCAGCGGCACCACGGTCTAGCGCCACGCGCTGCCAATAACGGCGCAAGGCAGCCCCACGGTATGGGCCGGGGAGCCACATCGCCGCCGCCGTCAGCTTGCCACCTGTCACGAGCAGCACGCCGGCATCGGAGAGCACGGCGTAGCGGTCCACGGCAGCCGGAAGGTCCTCCGGCGCGGGGCGAGTCCGCATCTGCACCCTCTGCATCGCCATCGGGCGAAGGAGAGCAGACGTAGGCGGAGCAGCCTCAGGAGGATCCTGGGGCCACCGCTGCTCAGCAGTCATGCCGAGCTCCGCTGCGGCCGCAGCGCTCAAGGAATAGTCGGAGTCGGCGCTGGCGTGGTCGTCACCATTACCGTGGTGCTCGCTCTGCAACTCCACGCCGGTGATCAGGTCAGCCAGCAGCGCCTCGGGAGGACCAGCACTGGCTGGACGTGCAGCAAGGCGGGCACGAGGCAGAGCATGATCTGCATTATCACTAGCAGGAACACGTACGGCAAGGACGGCACGAGGGAGAGCACGAGTGCGAGCAACACCAGCGGCTGCAGCCTGGCGCTCCTCTGCGGTCAGGCGTGCCGTATCAGCCTCGCGCTCAGCCACTGCTAAGCGCCCGGCCCCAGCCTGTCGCGAAGCACTGGCGCGGCGCCTCGGCCCAGCAACGCGGTATGGTGTCACCGGGCACGTTGTCACCAGGGGGCCGGCAGTGGCAGCGGCTCGCGACCGCGCCGCCAGAGAAAAAACTAAGGGGCTGGATCGCGAGCGCAAGCCAACCGGCCTCGGCGACCACCACGGCGCAGCTGGCGCCATCGCCTCGGCGCCCAAGCCAGCCAAATCTGGCGCAGGGCTGGCAGGCGGCAGCGGCGGCACCCGTACACCCACAGCCTCCGGCGCCTCCACGTTCGCCACGAGCTCCGGCAGCAGGATGTCCACGGGCGACACGACGAGGCCTGGGGGGGGGGGGGCACACCCCATCAGGTTGCGCACGTCCATCGCCTGCACTTGCGCATGCCGGATGGCGACCCTGCGCGTCCGGAGGCGAAGTCTGCCCGCAGCGGAGGCCACACCAGATGGGCGACACAACATGGGGCAGGACATCAGCAGGTGGCCAGGGCGGGGCACGGCTGGCCCGACGGGCCGAAATCGGCGGGGCGGGCGCGTCTAGGCTCAAGCCGTGGAGTCGTCGCCTGCCGAAGGGGGCATGATTGCTGCGACTACGGCTCTGGCCTTGAGCCAAAATGGCGTGAGCCAAAATGGCGTGAGCCAAAATGGCTACGGAAAGGAGGAGGGAGGAGGGAGGAGGGAGGAGGGAGGAAGGAGGAGGAGGAGAGGGTGCTGCTGGAAAACAAGAACCCCATTCAGGATGTGGGGAAACATGCAGGGAAGAGCCGCCGTTGTCGGGTCCGACGGCTCCCTTGCCCAAAGGGCTCCACGACTACCTTCTGCACGGGGTGGGGCGGCCTCCTCGTGGGGCGGAATCACAAGCCCCTGTCCGCCGTCATCGGCGGCGGGCCTCAGAGGCCCTCGGCAGGCAGAGCCAAAAGGCTCGCTTTCCTGGATGGGCGCCTCAGCACAAGGGCTGGACGATGGGGCCTGCCCGCAGCAGCAGCAGCAGCATCGCGCCTCGGCCTCCGATGGACCACCCCTCTCACAACCTGCTGAAGAGGCTCCCTAGATGGGGTCCGCGTACATGGGGTCGGAGTATCGCGCCGCATCGCCGATGCATCACCAATAGAGAAAATCTGGCTCCGCATCGGGACGCATCGCCGCTGCATCGGATGCGGCGGGACCCTCCGATCCCATCTGCTCGGACCCCATCTGGGAAGCCTTGATTCTGGGCGGGAAGTCGGGCGATGTGTGCGTGATCGGTGTGTGTGTGTGTGCGTGTGCGTGTGCGTGATCGGTGTGTATGTGTGTTGTGTGTTGTGTGTTGTGTGCTGTGTGCGTGGTGTGTTGTGTTGTGTTGTGTTGTGCTGTGCTGTGCTGTGTTGTGTTGTGTTGTGGTGTGTTGTGTTGTGGTGTGTTGTGTTGTGTTGTGTTGTGTGTGTTGTGTGTGTTGTGTGAGGTGTGTGTTGTGTGTGTTGTGTGTTGAGTGTGTTGAGTGTGTTGTGTGTTGTGTGTGGTGTGTGTGTTGTGTGTGTTGTGTGTTATGTGTGTTGCGTGTGTTGTGTGTTGTGATTGTTGTGTGTGTGTGTTGCATGTGTTGTGTGTGTTGTGTGTATGGTGTGTGTGTGTGTTGCGTGTATGGTGTATGTGTGTTGTGTGTTGTGTGTTGTGTTGTGTGTGTTGTGTGTGTGCTGTGTGTTGTGTGTGTTATGTTGTGGATTGTGTGTTGTGTGTGTTGTGTGTTGTGTGAGTTGTGTGTTGTGTGTTGTGTGTGTGTTGTGTGTTGTGTGTGGTGTGTTGTGTGTGTTGTCTTGTGTGTTGTGTGCTGTGTGCTGTGTGGTGTGTGTTGTGTGCTGTGTTTTGTGTTGTGTGTTGTGTGTTGTGTGTTGTGTGTTGTGTTGTGTGTTGTGTGTTGTGTGTTGTGTGTGTGGGGGGGGGGAGGGGGGGAGGGGGGGGGAGACGTGGACGACCCAGCAAGTGTGCGCCAGGTTCGGCGCAACCCGCGCCAGCCTGGCTGCATGACTGTTCAGCCCACCTGCAAGCGGCGGAGACCGTTCAGAGGCATCCCGGCACTCCGGAGCTGACAAGGGAGAGGCGGCCGAACCCGAGCTCCCCCTGTAATCTCGCATGCAGGGTGGGTGTGGCGGCAAGGCTCACTTTCCTTTCAGCAGGGCTGGACCTAAACGGTGTTTTGGCGATTTCTTGGGCCGTTTTCGTTTCGATTTCGCTTTGCGGTAAAGGCGGATTGAAGACAAACCGAGGGAAAACGAAAAACACCGTTTAGGTTCAGCCCTACCTTTCAGCGGGACAAGAAGCGCACGGGGAGAAGAGAGCAGGAACAGCCAGAGGACCACGACACGGAAGCGAGGAGGGACAAAAATGGTGCGAAGAGGAGGGCCGAGGGAAGAGAAGCGCGAGAAAGGGGGGGAGGGGGCGTAACAGTGTAGAGCCAGACGGCCCCAGGACTGGCGCAGCAGGGCGGGGGCTCCGCGTAGTGACCGCCGTGCACGGCCGAGCCTGCGGGGGCACGCCGCGGTTCCGTCCACCGCCTCCCCTCGTCGCTCCTGTCCGTCTTCCTCGACCGCGCCCTCCCCGACCGCGCCCTCCTCGCGTTCCTGGCCCTCGTCGTCGCCCCCTCTCGGGATGGATGAGACGGGGCTCCGGATCGCGCCGCATCGACGACGCGTCTTCGATGCGGCGCGACCCGCTGGCCTCACCAGGGCGGCCTCATCAGAGAAGGGTCGAGGTCGGGCTCGCACCGAGGCTTGGGAGCGTGGGGGGGAGGGTGGAGGGTGGAGGGTGGAGGAGAGAGCGAGGCATTCCCCGTCCAACACGTGGTGTTCTGAGATTATACCCACCTGGCCCTCACATGCTTACATTACCTTCCCATGCCACCGTGCCTCGGGGCACGAAGTGGAGCGTTTCCCATGTTTCTGAACTTCTCCGTGCTCTGCATTCATATCGTAGCACCCCGCAGCTGCGGATAATAAGAGTGAGGGGGGCGGCGGGGACGTCGGCAGTCTGCGAGGCTCTGAAGAAGCCCGCCGCAGTATACAACGAGCCCACCGCAAGCGCCGATTTTGTCGTTGAAGCGAAGTTGGTGGGCCGCAGGTGGGTCGCAAGCGGGTCGCGGGTGGATCGTGGGGTGGGTCGCGGGTGGGTCCCAGGTGGGTCGCGGGTGGGTCGCCGGCGGGTCGCGGGGTAGTCGCAAGCGGGTCGCGGGTGGGTCGCGGGGTGGGTCGCGGGTGGGTCCCGGGTGGGTCGCAGGCAGGTCCCGGGGTTGGTCGCTGGGTAGGTTGCAGGCGGGTCGCGGGGTGGGTCGCGGGTGGGCTCCAGGTGGGTCGCGGGTTGGTCGCGGGTGGGTCGCGGACCAGGTCGCGGGGTGGGTCGCGGGTGTGTCGCGAGTGAGACGCGGGCATGTCGCGACGTGGGTCGGGGGCGCGTCGCGGGGTGGGTCGCGGAGTGGGTCGCGGGTGGGTCGCGGGTGGGTCGAGGGGGGTCGCGTGCGGGTCGTGGGATAGCTCGCGGTCGGGTCGCGGGTGGGTCGCGGGATGGGCCGCGGGTGGGTCCCAGGTGGATAACACGTGAGTCGCGGGTAGGTCCCGGCCCTCTTCGCGGGGGGACGACGACAACAAACAACGAACAACAATCAACAATCAGCAATCAACAATCAACTAATAACAAACAACAAACAACACTTCCACCACCACCACCAACAACAGCTAGAACAATCATTTTAAAACTGTTCGCTCTTACTGGCACGCATGTCCTGCATTCCGCATTCCGTATACCCCAACCCTCGATACCCGCCCACTTCGTCTTCAATTGCACCCCCTCTCGGGGGGAATCGCTTCCTTGTCGGCCACTGACTGAAGGGCGTGGAAGTCTCGAGCGAGAGCGCTGTTCCTGAGTTCGGGGCCCTATCTAGCCAGGGGCTCTTAGAATACCTGTGGAGAAAGATCGAACGAGAACCCTTGTCGCCGTGTCCGGACCTCCACCAACCTGCCTGAATGACGAGAAAGTGTCGAGCGAGAGCGCCGTTCATGAGTTCGGGGCCTTCTTGGCCAGGGGCTCTCGAAGTAAATCGTGAGGAAGTATCGAGCAGGAGGCTTTGTCGTCGTGGCTGGGCCTCCGCCAACTTGATTGAATTGCGAGGACGTCTCGAGCGAGAGCGCCGTTCCTGAGTTCGGGGGTCTCCCTGGCCAGGGTGTCTTGGGTTGAGCAGGAGTCCTTGTCGTCGTGGCTGGGCCTCTGCCAACTTGGTTGCCTTGCGAGGAAATCTCGAGCGAGAGCGCCGTTCCTGAGTTCGGGGGCCTCTGGCCAGGGTGTCTCATGGTAAATTGTGAGGAAGTATCGAACGGGAGCCTTGTCGTAGTAGCTGGGCCTCCCAGGGGCCCACATTCAGGCTCAAGCCAACGCTCGAGCGAGAGCCTCGCTTTCAGAGAAAATGTAGCTAGCGTCGAAGCGAGAGCGCACGGAACTGTTACCGAAGATCAGCAATAATAATTCTTGAGAAATGAATATCCAATAACAACACCATGAACATCAACAACAATCATTTTACCCTCATGCGCGGTGTTTCCACACGAAGCATGCGACCACCAGGATAACCATCCCCATCAAGGGGGACTATTGTTCGATAGCGGGGTCCGTTATTCCCATTCCCAGATCTCCCGCCCAATGTGGTCTTGCAAAGACCTCCTCCGAGGAATTTCAACATATCCCGCCTCGAAAACGCATGCCCGCGCCTTGCTGCGCCGATGCGAAACCACCACTGGAGCCCCAGCCAAGGGTAAAGCACAAGGAAATATCGAGCGACAGGATTGCCTTGGTGGGGATGGGGGCTATTGTTGCTGGGAGCGGCACCAATGCTGAAGAGAGTAGGGCGCTAGTCCAACGTAAAAGAAAACGATGTCTCGAGCGGGAACGCTGGTTTTGTTGGGGCGGCGGCTGTCGGCGGCGAGGAGGAACACCGCCTTGAGTAAGAAGGGAGTCTCGAGCGGGAGCCGTGGTTTTGTCG